AGCCAGACTCTGCACACTGGACCCAGGGCCTGCTGAAACGAGGCCTCCTTAGCCTGCAGAGCTGGAGCCCAAGTCTGGGTAGGAGGAGGGGGACTAATGGTCACCTTGGCATTTGTCTTCCCTTAGTGGAGGCCACCACCTGATGATCAGGTGGCCAGGGCTTCCCAGAGCTGCCCACCAGTGTTTCTAAGGGCACCAAGACATGGGCAAGACAGATGCAGCCTGGCACCAGCATCAGACTTGGCTGCCAGAAGCCAAGTGGCATCTGAGATGAGCTGGACTCCTATCTGACCGTCTGGGACTATTTATACCAGTGAGGTGTCGAGTATGATGCCAGGGTCCTCTTCCCTTTGAGCTGGGTAGAGATCGTCTTTCCAGAATTGTAAGAAGAGATCGTGACTAATTCACCTTGAGAGGCTAATGGAGTTAAGAAGGTTGGAGAAACTGCTTCTGTCAACCTTCTAGTAGGCTAAGGGCAAGCTAGAGCTATTTCAAGGGAAATCTAGGAAAGGGCCTTTATTAGTGACTTCCAATAATAAAAGAGTCATAACTCCATTACAGAAAACTTGTAAAAAATACAGAAAAGTATTTTTAAAACCACTCACAATCCCATTACTCAGAGAAACCCACCATTAATATTTTGTTGCATTCTCTCTCTCTTCCTATGCATTCACAGGTCTATAGATAATTCTTTTGGGGGATCACAGCTTTGTAAATTGCATTTTCCACTCAATATTATTATGTTAGCCTCTTCCTATGTCATTGTACAAAAAAACGTAAGCATCATTTTTGATGTTTGCATAATGGTCTATATTCTTGGCCATCCATCCTGTCAGAAGCAGTATCTAGGGGTGACCTAGTGTGACAGTGCTTCTCACAATTTTATTTCCTCAAGTCAATCATCTTTAGAGATTGCGATGTAGCAGTACAACCTTCCAAAAGTAAAGCCCAAGTAGGATGGAGAAGGAAGCAAGGGCTACTAGCTCCATGTTCCAGATGGGAAAACTAAGGCTTAAACCTGGGCATGGAGCAGTTTTGATGACTTTTACTTGGGTACCAACTGGAGTGTTTTCAGGGCACCTGGGATGGTAGCCCTGAGTGTGAGAGGAGTTGATAGGGCTGGAGTATCAGCTCCATATTGATAGGTTTGCATTTGAAAGATGTACTCACAGGCCTACAAGTGAGTGAGTCCTTAGTATCTCTAGGTACCTCTAGGCTAGCCTGAGAGGGGCAGTCTCTCTGGGGTCAGCAAGGCCCCAGATGTCAAAGCATCAGAAACACATAGTTAATCCATGGAGTCTGCAACAGAGATGCGTGATCTGGGACATCCCCACATCGACCAGGACTCAGCATGAGCTTTGTCCGAGCACTAGCAGGGGAGACGTTTACTAAGAGCAGCAGCAGGAGGATCCAGACAATGGAGAAACTTCCTGAGTTATTCATCTCTGACTCAGCTCTGCCATCAGGCAGCAGAGGGACTGTACGCAAGCCTCTGACTTCCTGGGCATCTACTATCAGCTCTTGTCCTTTAATGGCAAGAGAAAGGGCATGAAAGGGAATGAATATTTCTTAGGTATTCCTGTATGTCAGGCACTGTGCTAGTCCTTTCCCTGAAACTCTTATCAATATCTTATTTTAACCCTGTTACACATCTGTTGCACTTTTAATACTGATTTCGCAGATGAGGAAAGTAAGGCTCAGAAAAGTGACGGGCCTGGGGTGGCCAGTGAGGGGCAGAGAAGGGAGGTGAACCCTGTTCTGAAAGCCTCTCCACCTGACAGCCGCTAAGCACATGGCACAAGACCATTTGGGATCATCCTACTGCCTAGTTCCGTGTATGAGTGACGTTGGGGATTCAGGAGAAAGGGAAACTGGGTGGAGGCTGGTGGAGGTGAAGCAGCGGGGGCCTTGTGGAGGCCATGGAGGAGCTGGCTGATTGAAGAGAGGTGCTGTTAGGTTTTAACTTCCTCCTGTTTGTGAATCTTTAGTTCATACTATTGTTCTGGCTTGGTTAGTGAGTGGCAAACACTGAGGGAACCTTGGTACCGCATTTTAGTGCTGGGTGGGCTTTATCACCTGGTTCAAACAGATTATTTTAGGGAGGAGAAAGCAGAGGCCCAGAGGGAGGAAGTGATTTAGCCAGAGTCACACAGCTGGTTTAGAGGCATATCCAAGATATGTCCACACATCTCCCGATTCCCTGAGCACTTTAGGATGAGTCTCCTCATAAGTATCTCTTGCATCACTTGAATCTAGAGTTTTTCTGGTAGCAGCCTGAGATCATGGCTTCAAATGGCTCAGGGGATTCCAAAGGGCTTAGTGCCACTGGCTCTGGTTGCAAATGATGATCTTTGTACTAAGACACCAGACCTCACTTACTATGGTGTGACTGGAAAACACCATGTATTAGAGCCAAGGTCATGGACTTTTTGTGTGTGGCCCAAAGCTGACCCCTTAGCTACAGATAGCAGAATCTATTTTAACTAGTTCAAGCAGAAAGGGATTTATTAAGGGTACAGGTTGGCTGAAGAAAGATACCAGGCAGAGCTTCCAGAAATGCCTCTCTAAACTGCATTTGAAGCGAGGCAGCCATGAAAGCTGCTGCCTCCGATATAATCATGAAGGTGCTGCCATCACTGTGGTTTCCAAGAGCCGCGCCACCCCTGCCACATTCTGTACCGGTAAAACAATGCTCTGAGCCTTGTCGTGCTTCTCCTGTAACAGTTCTGAATCAGTCTCGTGTAAGTGCTCCTCGATTGGTTGAATCTAAACTGCATCCAGAATCCTAACTGCAAGGGCGTCTGGGAAATATCCTAGCAAAGACAGAGTCTCCATGTTTGAGATTCTCACAGTGTGGAAGGGGAAATGGATACATAAACGACCATTTTAATATGATGCTATTTGCTCTAATTAAGAGATAGTCTACAGAGAGGCCCTGGAGGTGGGGGTCAGAGAAGGCTTTCCAGAAGTGGGGGTATTTGAACCGGGATACTGAAGGGTCGGTATGAGTCTGCCAGGTGAGAATGACAGAGAAAGGAGGTTTGAAACACAGGGAAACAGGAAAAGGCGCGTGTGATATTTTGGGGATTCCCCAGTGCCTTGTTCTTATTAACGCAGTTTCAATTCTTTTATGACACAAGAACAAGGAGCCAAATTATTTTGTAAATAGAAGTCAATTTGTTGTATAAAATGTTTTGATATTTTAAAATATTATTTTAATTTACTTAAATATATAACTATAATGCTTAAAAATTATTGTTATATTAAAATTATTAAGAACAGGTATTTATAAATGAAATATTTTTTAAAGTATTAAATATAAAATTATATTTAAAAGTTATTTAAAATACGAATATTTTTAAAGGAAGCCCATTTATTGGGCGAAACGATTTAGTATTTCTAACGCAGCACATCCCTGAGTTTGTACGTGCAAGTTAGACGTGTGGGAACATATGTGAAATGACAGCTGCCCCACACGGGGAAGGTGTCTGGGAAATCCTCGAGGAAGGACTTTATTTTAAATTCCTGCTCATGGCTCACAGGGCCCAGGAGGAGCCATGGGGCGCCACTCCCACTTCTGATTCTCCACGGCCACCTATTGCGAGGCCGCCGTCCCCCGACGTCTATTATGGCTTGACCCTGTAGGCTTCCCGATGCTGTGGTGTTGAAGCTGTGATGGAGTCCAACTCCCCCAGCTTAGCCTGTCCCGGTCTCTTCTGAACAACCACCAGAAGGAGAGGCCGTGAGGCGAGGGCGTACCTGGCCTCTGCTGTGAGTGGCCCCACCAGCCTCGGTGGCCGAGCCCAAGCCCAGCAGTGAGCTACTGTGTCTTACCTCTGAGGGACCCTCCCCCAGCCCACAGTCAAGCGGTTGCTCTTCCTTCCCTGGGCTGGTACGAACTGTCTGGTGCGAGGAAGGGACGTCTTAAAGGTCTCCTCGCCCAGTGGCAGTGGGAGGCTGGAGGGCCCTTTTCAGGGGACACCCGCTGTCCTTGGAGGTGAGTGGACAAGAGCAGCCCTGAGTCAGTGTGCAGGTTCATGTTCTAGCTCTGCCGCCTACCATCGGCACGACTCTGGGCAAGTGAGTTAACTCCCAGAGCTTGTTCTGGTGCATAGTGATGATGATCTGTTTCCTCCCAGGCTAGTTACAAAGCCTAAAAGTGAATGCCTCCATGTGGAGTGCTGGGCACTGCACTTGGCCCGTGGCAAGGGCTTGGCGTGCATTGGCTGAAATTGGTGCTGTTACTCTGCCTGAAGGTACAGAAGGAAACCTGAGGTGGCTCTGACATACCTGGAGCCAGCTGATGTTTGAGCACTCTCTGCAATGAGACCGAGACCAAGCCCAGCCAGGGCCTCCAGTGACAATGGGGCCTGGAGCGCCATCTGTGTAGCCTCAGTTTCCCCAGGTTCCATGTGGGGAGAAAGAAATGTCAGTCTCACCTAGTCACAGCGTGAGCATGAGGATCAAGTGGGCTAATGGAAGTGGAAATGCTTGTACAGTGGGAAAAGCAGTAGATCTCAGCTACACTTGTAGCTGTCATTGGGTGACACTTCCCCAAGAGGAGGACAAAGGGGCGGGAAAGGGCAGGACCAGCTGAAGCAGCAGGCTCACCGCCTGACCCTCAGTGCTGACACCTTCAATGGCTGGTCACAAGAAGAGCCAGAGCAAAAACATGCACAGATTATCCTTTTCTTCTCCTTTGCGTCAACTTGAAACCAAATCTGCTTCTGAATGTCATGATTTGCTGAAATGGGGTCCTGCTCCCATACATGCTATACTCCCAGGGTATCGGGGGTACTGTGTGTAGTCACCTACCCATGAGCAGACTGGAGGCCCCAGTGGTCCTGGAGCCCCCCACCATGTATCTGCTGGGTGGAACTGATTTGCTCTGTTTATTTGACCAGGACAGTTCCCCACTCCCCCACAGAAGAGCCCTGGCAGGCCCCTGAAAGTCAGGCTGGCTTCTCTGCATAGTAACCTCTGTTCCTGTTGGTTCCCAGGTATTTTGAATTTTACGAGGGCCCTTTAGAATACAACTCCACAAGATGCCTGGAGCTGAGGCACGAAATCTTGGAAGTGAAGGTCCTGTCCATGTGAGTGTGGCCAGGGTGGGTGGTGGGTGCATGGTGCACGTGGGGGACAGGGCAGGGGGTGGGGGGAGGGGGATTTGGGCAGAAGGAACCCAGAAACATGGTGGATCCCAACAGAGCAAGAATTAAGTCTCCTTCCCTGGGCCCTGGCATTTGGAGAGCCCTGCACGGCTGTACACAAGGATGATTGTGTGTGTTTTATGAAAAAGAATCCAAATTTCCAAGGTCACCTCTGGTGACTCAGGCCTTTCAGTCTCCGGCTCAATTACGAGCCTCCGAGTTTATCATCACTGGGCTCCTCACGAATAGAAATTGAAGAGGGTACGAGAGCGTCTTACCTGAAATTCAGCCCTTTGTGCCCAGAGTTAAGCATCACCCTCTTGCTATTGCCTTTTAAAAATGTTATATTCATTAACGTTTTTAATTTTTTTATTATTTAAATGATACACTGTTCAAGAAGTATACAGTGATAAGTCCCCTGCACACGGTCCGCCATTTCTCCTCCTCAGAGGCATCCCATGTACCCTTAGACGCCTTCTAGAAAGTCAATGCACCTACGTCTGCATTTTCTAAACTTTTTCTTTTATTTTCTTTATGTATATATATGACAAAAGAACCGTGCTCTCCTCTTTCCGCTCGACACTTTGTCACCTATGGCTCTTTTGCCACCCATGGGAGGGAAAGCACACCACATGCTGAACATTTCAGTGCGTGTGTGTGCCTGCCCCAACTTGCCCTCCCTCCTAGGACTGCCGCGAAATTCAGTAAGCCCGGTGAGAGGGATTTGTATTGTGTTCATCATTGCGGGTCGTACGTTTATTTGAAAACCGTCATATCTGGATGTGGAAGAAATGCAGTTCATTTAGGCAGGCAGCGTTGGGTGCTCATGAGGACTGCACCCTGACATGATCCCCAGGGCCACTGCCCGTGGCGGGAGCCATCGCTCCTTGAGCCATTTGACATGATTTCCAAGTCGTGTGGGTCATAGGGCATGGGCCTTGGGGTCAGGCGGATCTGGGATCCAAAACTGCATTGGGTCTTACCGACTCTGCATCTTTAAACAAAAGACTTAACCTCTCTGAGCCTTTCCTTACCAACAAAACGGGGATGCTTGTACCAATCTTTTAGGGGTTGCCATAAAGACGAGGTGAAAGTAGGTAGCCCAGCAGTCCACATACATCCTAACACAAGTAATAAGTGCCCAATAAATGTTCGTGTGCTTTCTCCCTTTCCTTCCCTCCCCTTTCTTTCCCTTCTGGAACCACCGCCACCACCAGCAGCAACAGCTTTTTCTGGGCTGTCATTCAGACTCCTTACGCTTAACAGCTGCAGGAAAGTTCCAAGATAAGACCAAACATCCAGCTGGGATTAGGCACTGGTGTTTAAGGTTCCTGTACTAACCAAGGGGCCTGCTACCCTCTCAATAGATAAACACAGCTCACCCTCCGGTCAATCTCACCTGGCCCCAGGCTGAGGACCCCTGGAGCCTACCCTCATGGAGCTCACAGCCTCAGGGAGGGGGAAGCGGACATTAAAAATTGGTTACCCTAGGAGACAAGGGGATGACAAGGGACTTGACCTGGGCGGGGGCAGGGAAGGGTCATCAGGCAAGCTTCTCTGAGGAAGCAATGCTGGTGCTCTGGTCTGCAGAGCAATAGCAGTTAACTCGACCAAGAGGATTCCAGACAAGGGAACAGTTTGTGCAAAGACCCTGTGCCAGGAAGGAGCCTACTGTATGACAGGCTCTGAAGGGTCAGGGCAGCTTCATGCCAGTGTGAGAAGGGACATGGAAGCCATGCTGCTGGAGGGGCAGACAGGGGTCTGACCTTGTGGGGCCTTGCAGTACAGACCTGGATTTAGATTTTATCTTAATCCAAGGGCAGCGGGAGCCCATGGGAAGGGTTTTAAGCAGGCGGTGGTGGGGCTACGATGTGATTGGTGTTTGTTACATTTCACTGAGGAGCTGAGATTTAGTGGCAAAGATGGCTGCCTGGACCTCGGTCAGGAGCCAAATTTATAAGCTCACAAGCAGAGCCCTTTATCTTTTCTAAGACTTCAAAGATCTCAGGCCCTGAAACATTGCATTGTGGAAAGCCAGAGAAATCTTGTTGAGAACATACCTTAGAGTTTTCCAAGGGTAAATAATTAATTTTTTAAAATTATAGAATGCTGAAAGTCTCTTCATGGTTACTTCCAGGTCTGCACAGAAAGAAAGACCTGACAGACCTATAAATTGGATCTCCTTCTGTCGCTTCCCATCCCTCTACCCGTATATTTTTTATATGTTAGTATCAGTCCCTGTATTAGTTTGCTTGGCTGTCATAACAAAGTACCACAGACTGAGTGGCTTGAACACCAGAACTTTATTTTCTCACAGTTTGGGAGGCTAGAAGTCAGAGATCGAGGTGTTGGCAGATGGTTTCTTCCGAGTCTCTCTCTTTGGCTTTCAGATGGCTGCCTTCCACCTCTGTCTTCTCACGGTCTCCCCTCTGTGTGACGGCGCCCTAAATTCCTCTTCTTATAAGGACATCAGTCACGGTGGATTAGTGCTCACCTAATTAGTGACACCCTCGTGTTATCATTTTAACTTCATTACCTCTTTAAAGACCATATCTCCAAATACAGTCATATCCTGAGATATTGGGGGTTAGGGCTTCAACATATGCATTTTGGGGGAGTCACGATTTAGCTCATAATCGTCCCTATCACATTGTCCATTTAGAGACCAAATTAAAAATGACCCGGGCCCTTGGTTTCAAGCCTAAATCATGAATGTCGTGGGGTGTGTTAGGGAACCTCATATTTCCTCATGATCTGTGCCCACCCTTTTCCCCTTGTCATGGACTCATGTTGGTGGCATTTGGTTCTCTGCTCATTTGGCTCTAGTTCTCAACTCTGCCCTTGGGACACTTGCTTGGTCTCCTGAACTGAGCAGCCATCACAGCTGGTGCCCTCTGGGCCTTGCACCACCCTGTCTCTTTCGTGACAGTTGCCCTCTCTGTGGTCCCCAGGCCCCGGGTGTCTGGGCACTGGTGGTAGGTCCTGGAGGTCTGAGAGGAGAAGGATGGTCAAGGGGCATCAGGTGTGAGTTTGATGGGACATTGGGGCTCAGCGAGCCCAGTTCCTCCTTTTCTGAGTTTCCAAGCTGAAGGTCAGTGCGCCCTTCAGGGCTAAAAGCAGAGAGCCCAGAGGTGGCCTGTGATCTGAGTGGTTCTGACACCACCTGGGCACCTGCGGGCTTCACTGTGCTCCAGCCCAGAGCTATGAGCAGCACTCGTGGTGGAGACACTGAGGCATTGGGGAAAGGTTAAATTCCCAGCTATGAATGGAGGGGGCTGGATGGATGCATTCCAAGGCCCTTCAGGCACACAAATGTCAGCTGGCGTTCTGTCTGAGGAGACAGGGATGTGTGCGATTCATCTGGGAACGAGTCTGATCCAAAGTTGCCCAAATCAATGGTAAAACTCAGTGAGCCGGAAAATTCCCACATGGGCAAGGTTTTGTTCCCTGACAATGTCAGATGCATGAGAAATTGCTCTATGATGATTTGTTATAAAAACACATTGTCACTAATACTCGTAAAAATTATTTATGTTTGAAGTTAGTCATTCTAGAGCCTCTTTATTTTTAAACCAGCTGCTTGCTGCCTGTACTCATACCCAGATGGTCTCACCTCACCCTGCTGGCCTCTCCTGCTGCCCCTTCTACATCTTTCTGGGTGTGGGGAAACCTCACTGAGCCTGGTGCTGAGACAGGAGAGAGGCTGGGGGCCAGGGCCAGGCAGGGCTCCCCAGGGTGGGCCTGTTGTGCTCAGGCATCTCTGAGTCCTGGAGTCTGACCCTGCATGGGCTCAGGACACATTGTTAAATAAAGGACTGGATAGAGGAAGTGGATGAGTCCTGGGTGGAAACAAGGGAGGCCATGGAAGAAAAGAGGAGAAAGAAGAAAGATAATGAGATGACCATTATCATCTCATTATCATCACCGTCTCTAGCATATGCCTAGAAAAATCAAGTAGAATATAGAAGCTTATAATGATAAAAAGCCCCACACCCTTTCCCCCAGTCCTGCTCCTTCCAATTCTTGGCTGTTTCTTCTGGTAATTACCTCCATACACCTAAGTATTATGTGCCTGCTGCTTCCTGACCTACCCTATTTGCACAGTGTGCACTGATGTCCTGCTTCGCTGGGTGAGGATTCAGATCCCTTACCCCACACCCAACCACCTCCTCACCTTTCCTGGCCGAAGGGTATTGCTGTTTTAATTCTTCTGTTTATAGATTGCTTAAGTAACCTATTTCTTATTCTACCAAATATTGACTATTAAAATTACCCCTACTTTTCAGTTCCAGCCTCTGGCTTCAATCATCCATGAATTTATCTTTAAAATGTCAAAGCTGGTAACAGGTATATCCTATTTGTAGCCATAGCAAGCCTTTTTTCAGGTTTTCTTTATAGGTTGACTCTAAAATTTGAAGATCAGACAATAGTGATTCCACCTCCCTTTCTTGTACATTTCCACCCCCTCTCCTTTTTTTTTCTGGAGCTTCTACTCGTCTTTTCTCCCTTGAACTCTTTGTTTCTATTATGCCCTATTTATGTTTTTCCTGCCTCTCCATCAACCAGGCACTCCCTCAGGGTTTCCCTTCAACCTCTTGTTCCCACCTGGACAGGCTGCCCTCCTGTAGGTCACATGCCATTGCCCTGGGACTTCCTCCTCTGCCTATTTAGGTCGGGTTCACCTTGGCTTAGAACCCATAGCTGCTTCTTTCTTGGTCTATTCATTTTGCTTCCACCCATCTTCCTTCTCCCTAAAAATGATGGGTGGGAGGTAAAGTTTTGAGTCATTCTGTGTCTACGTGACTTTAATTCTTCCCTTGTACTTGATTGTTGGTTTGGTGGGGTCAGTATGTTAAGCAGAAGTCTTTTCCCCCTGAATGCTGAAGACCTTCTCCTTCACCTTCTAGTGGCCAAGGCCATATGGGCCTGACACTGGTCGTTCCTTTGGAGGTCACCTGCCTTCTTCCTTGAGTCTTTTCAGATCATGACAGTTCTGAAATGTCCCAGTCGTGTGCCTCAGGATGCACATCCAATGGGACGTCTTCATCTGGGTTCATGTCTAAACTCTTGAACTTTCTCTTAAATATCTTTCCTCCTCTCCATTTTTCTCTGCTTCCTTTTCTGTTACCTCTGAGTCGTATATTGGATTTTATCGATAGCTCCTCTAGCACTCATATATTTTAATCTCATCTTTTGCAATTTTTTTTTTTGCCGTTTGCTTCTTCTTTCTGAGAAAATTCCTTGACTTTATGTTCTAGCTCCGCTAATGCACTTTTTTCTCAAGAGCTCTTTCTTTGTTCTCAGAGCAGTCTGTTATTATTTTAAGGATGTCACAACTTCTTGAATATCTCTGGAGACATTAGTAGAATATTTTTAAGTTCTATTTTTTCCTCTAGTAGTCTTCTCTTTGGTCATTTTTTAAAATGAGTATTTTAAATTTATTTATTTATTTTGTGTGTAGGCACACAGAGTGATCAATATGAAATAGTTTAATTGGATATACGGGCTTATATTTTGGAGAAATTTATGACAAAAAGTAGTATAGGATAAATAATGAAAACAAAAACAGAAAGATAATACCCATAATCATACCATACCAAAAAATCAAATATTTTTTCTAAATTTATTTTTCAATTCAGTTGGCATACAATTTTAGTCTTAGGTGTACAATATAGAGATTAGACATTTAGATACATCACTCAGTGATCACCCCAATAAGTCTAGCACCCATCTGACACCTTACATAGTTATTATAATGCTATTGATTATATTCACTGTGCTGTACTTTACATTCCTGTGACTTTTTATTTTATTAATTGGCAATTTGTACTTCTTAATCCCTTTTACTTTTTTCACTCATCCCCTAACCCTCCTCCCATCTGGCAACCACTGATTTATTCTCTATATCTATGAGTTTGTTTCTATTTTGTTTGTTTGATTATTTTAATTTTTAGATTCCACATAAGGAAATCATATGGTATTGTCTTTCTCTATCTGCCTTATTTCACTAGCATAACATCTTCTAGGTCCATCCATGTGGTCACAAAAGGTAAGATTTTATTCTTTTTTTATGGCTGAGTAATATTCCATTGCATATTGTACTACATCTTCTATATCCATTTGTTTATTAATAGACACTTAGGTTACTTCCATATCTTGGCTATTATAAATAATGCTACAATGAGCATATGTCTTTTTGAATTAGTATTTTGGATTTCATGGGCTAAATTCTCTGTGGTCATTTTATCTGATGGTTTATCTTGGTCTGTTTCCTTCAGGTTGACCAGGTGATCCTTGGTTATCTATTTATATTTAAATTTAAACAATACAAAACTGATAGAAACTCTGAGTCTGGGAGCAGGCTTTCTTTGGGGGTAGTTGTTCAATATGCTGCTGTCCCGTTTGCTGCTAGAATGCCCAGATCTTTTCACTGGGAATGACAATTTTTTTTTTTTTAGGCAGGAACTGACAGACAGTCTGATTCAATCCTTCTTCCCCACCTCTGCTGGACATTAAATAGTTGGCTGCCATGGAGGTGGGTTTGCTGGTTCTGGATATGAACTAGCAAATGGTCCTCATTTTGACACCAAGTCCCTTCCTCACCTTCCACCCTCCTTTAAAATTTTCCACGTGGACCAGCTCTATCTCTAGGCTGTGCCTTCACTCCTTATGCCCTCCCGTCTCCTTCCACATACTTGCTGAAATCTCTCTTCCACTGAAAGTCCCCCGTCCCCAGCATTCTATTCATCTGGTAGGTTTATACCTTTCTAATTCGTCTTCTGGAATGTTAGTGATGTCTTGGGAGAAAGGAAGTAAGTGCCTGGGCTCAACACTTCATCTTTAAAGTGAAGATGATCTGTGCATCTGTAAAGCAATTTATAAAGTATTTTTACACATATCTCATTTGATCTTTCTGGTGACCTTTGAGATCACCAGGGCAGAGGTTATTATATCCATTTAACAGATAAAGCAGCTGAGTCTCAGAGGGATTAAATGACTTACCCGAGGTCATGTTGCTAGTTGGGGGTGGAGCCAGGATTCAAGGCTGTGTGTTCAGGCTCCAACCCTGTGATGATAAGGGCATTGGGAGCACAGAGAGTGGGACTCAAATATTGGCAACAGTTGAACTTGGGACCCCGACCTGCATTGTGGCCCTGGCTGTGAGGCATTAGCAGTGCAGGGGGCTGCTCTAGGGACCTGTAGGTTGCAGGAAGAGGGGGAGGGAAGCAGTGATTGAGCCAGGGCATCTCTGTATAATGACACCTCTCCTGATGTCACATGAGCCTGAGAGGTGAGAGCTACTGTGCGAGGTTTGAAAAAGCCGGAAGGAAGAGTCAGGATGAGAGGAGGGGCTCCTCCCAGCTCTTTGAAGCTGCCACGCAGGTCCCATAGTTAGGAGATATCTGAACTGCGTCTGAGGCCCAAGTCCCCCTCTGCTTCCCAAGTATGCGTACTTAGTCGCTATCCTGTATGACTTTTCCTGCAATCACGCCAGTTGTATATTCCCTCAGTAGGTGAGGCTTGCCCTGTTTAGGAACAACTATTTCCTCCTCCAATTAAACAAAGGGACACAGCTCTGTAAAATGAACCTGTTCAGTACCTTATGGTTAAGTATTTGCCCTTTTTTTTTGGAATCATGGACCCCTTTGGGAAGCCGATGAAAACTTCAGATTCTCCCCAAGATGAGCACATGGGTGGATAGGGGTTTTGCCTGTGATTCAGAGGTCTCATGGGGTCCCTTGAGCCCTTCGGCGGACCTCAGAGTAATAACCACGGTAGCTTTTTGATAACACTTGGCTCCTGGGGGCTGGTTACTTCCGCATTCATGACCAAAACAGAATGACCTTTAAAGAGCTGCTTCTGTACCGCACCTGAGACCAGCCAGCTTCTGAACTGGTCCACAGCCCAGTGACCTTGAACAGCTGCCTCACCCTGGAATGGGGATTGTGGGTGGACAGGAGAGAGGTTGTGGCTCTCCTTTAAGGAACCTAAGATTTGTCTAGAGTTTACCAGTGTTTCTGAGGCAGTCTGATGCAATGCTCAATGGGAAAAGGGTCCTATGATCCAGCCTTTTCTGCTGGTTTCAGTCGAAGGGAGACTCCCATGTGATTTAGACATTTCCTTTCCAGAGTATCACAAGCTGAGATGTTCAAAAACCAACTGGCGTGAAGCCTAGCAGATGGTTGTTCAGACAAAAGGAGCACATCTCAGGCTTCTTATCGCTTCCTTTCTGTCATCTGGAAATTGTGATCTGCCCTTGGAAAGGAAAAAGAAAAGGAATGCCCTTGTCGTGAGCCCTACTGTGTGCTGAGCCCAGTGTGGGTGATGTACAGACATCCCCTTAGGGAAGTGGTCTCACCCCCTTTATAGACAGATGTTCCTGGGACAACTGGTAGGTCCTTGGGGTGGGCATGTGAGGAAAAGTGTTTTAAAATGTACCCAGGTAAGGTAATCAGATAAGATAAGATACTCAGTATCTAAAATGACTGTCATGAAGGAAGAAGCTCTTCTAGATCCCTGGAAACAGAAGGAACATGAGGAGATATCAGGGTTGGTAGGAGGCAGAGGGGGTCAGGGGATAACCTGGGCGAGAGCCTTTGTTGTGATTTTCATAAGGAGGAATGGGCAAAGTGGGGCAGGCAGGTTTCAGGTTGGCTAGCCTGAGTAATTCCGGTGGGCTCTGCAGCATAGGGACTGCCCCCAGTGGTCTAATAGCTGGCCCTGGGGTGATTAGGGCAGGGGCTGGTGGCTCAGTTTATAAAGGAATTGGGTGAGAGTATTGGCTCTGGGTTGGCTGGTGTGCACGTGAAACCTGTGCTTCCAGGAGCGTTGTTTGCTATCTCTAGGAATTAGCAAGGCCCCAGGTGCCAGAGCATCGAGAACATCCAAAATAAGAATATACGGTTAATATGAACAACCAGCCCAGGACTTGGCATGTGGGGGAGCAGGAAGGGAGCATGTTTGGGAATGACGGCACTTTGTCCAGCCTGGCCCTTTCACAGACTCTCTGTTCTCCACTCCCCAAGGGTGAAGCAGTCGGAGCTCTTCGACCGGTGGAGGAGCCTGCAGATGTGCAAATGGGCAATGAACATCTCTGAAGCCAACCAGTTCAAGTACCTATGACTCGTCTGTCCTGCCCGGCCCTTCTGCTTGGGTGGTTCTCCTCCTGCCACCTCTTCGGATCCTCCTTGTCCTACAAGGCCCAGCTCCAGGGACATCTCCCTGGAGCTAGCCCTGATGAGACTTTGGAGTCCAGGCAGTGGGGAGGTTCTGGCTCCGTACGTGGGCTGAGGCAGGCACCTGCTGGGTGCTGTTCTCCACGTTCTCACTCTGAGTCCTTGCAGCGGCCCTGCAAGGTCAGCGGTATCGTCTCCAGTACAGCTGAGGTTAACTGGGACTCAACAGTGAAGCGGGTGGCAGGAGGTCTCCAGCAGGCCTGGAGGCACATTAGGCACATGAAGCATCTTCCGTGGCCTCACCCCAGGCCCCTCCCCACTCGGGGACAGCTGTTCCAACTCAGCAGGCCCCTCCATCCTGGAGCTCTTTGCTTCTTACAGACTATACTGGATGTTTGAGCCCTGCTGTCGATTATTTTTTAATTGCTCTCTAACCAAAACTGACAGATTATAAGCTCCCAGTGAGGCAAGAGCTATATCTTAAAGCTCTTCTGTCTTTGAGAGCTAAGCAACTAGCAATATCCAAACATTCTTTTTGATTAATGTTGAACTGTAGGGTCCTCTCCATCTTTAAAATTCTATGAGTATTATGGTATTATGTTAGTGTTGGTAGAACTTATTAAATAGAATTGATAGGATCCTGAGCGTGTGTGTTGAATAAACTGGATTTTGACAACTCAGGTCATAGTTTAAATGTACTGAGGAGTGATCAGCATGAAGGAATCCTGCATGGGAAGCCGTGAAAAGCAAATTACACTAAGTATTTTGTATTTTCTTTATAAGTCATTAGTTCCAGTTTGCTGCAACTCCAGGCCATCTCGAGACTGGGTAGTAGTTTTAAGTGGCACATTTAAAAAATGTGGGTGTTTAAAGTGATGACCCTTGAAGCACAGGTGCCTGCAGTCTCGAACCAGAGGCCTCTGTGAGACCGTGGAAACCCAGCTAAGGCCCAGCAGTAGTTTGCAGGGACCCACATATTATAGTAGAACATGAACTTGAGCCAAACACAGGAAGAGAGGGGAGCAGGTCCAAAGTCTAGGCTCCAAGTGCTGCCCCAAAGCCACCCCTCAGAAAGAAGTGTTACTGTGGGGACTGCATGGGTGGGTGAGACCTGCACGTGCTGAGAGTGTGGCTGATAAACAATTGGCAGGACACGGCTGGCGAGGTGCAAAAGGATGCTGTCCAGTCTGAGAAGCCTCATCAGTGGGATGCACGTGTCTGAGGAAATAATGAAGCAACAGAAAGAAGATGTGGCAGAAGAAAAACGGAGAGAAGCGTGGGAGCCTTCAGCAGGGATCAGCCAGCCCTCTCCAGAGGGGAGGCTCTGGGGGACCTGAGACCCTTCTGCAGTGAGGGTGGGCGGGGAAGTGGTTTTAGGTATGGGAAAGGGAGGTGACATCAGGTCTTGCCATGCTCTAAACGGAAAAACCTTCAAGTCTGGTCAGTCGTTGCCCTTTGCTCTTGTTTCGAACTCATTGAACAACGATGAAATTCTTAATTCAGGTTCCCAAGACCTTGGTGCAGTGGAGCAGGGTGGAGAGCATGCGCTAGAAGACAAGCATGAGCATTCCAGTCACAGGAAAAGAATCCTGTAACAGAAGCCTTCCTTCATGCTACTGCTTATGAGTAGACACATTGGTATTCTGGTTTATACATCAGTCACTCATGAGTTGGGCCAGCAATCTATGCAGGCCAGATACTGGTTTTTCATGCTGACCTCTGGCCCCTGCTTGGCCAGGCTTCTGGCCTTCCCTTGGGGAAGCCTCAATCACATTCTGAAACCCAACCCTCCTTAAGAAAGAATGTTCTCAGTAACCAGCAGCCAGCTGAGCTCCTCAGTGAAGTCCCTATAAGAGATAAAGTTATAAAAAAAAAGTATTTGTATAACCTTCCTGGCTTTGGCAACCTAGAGCCCCAGAACGTCAGAGTTTCAGAAGAGCCAGCCCTGTACTCACAAATGAGGAAACTGAGGCCCAGGGAGGGGAAGAGACCTGCCTGAAGCCCCACAGCTGGTGGGGACTGAGCAGAAATGAGAACCCAGGCTTCTTGACACCAGGTTGGCAAGCCAAGTTTCCATCCTAGACCTAGGGTGTGACTTTCTGGACAGCTCCTCCTCAATTTTAGTTAGTGGTCATCGTCTGGACTCCTTGGAGAAAGTGTTCCATTTCTCCCGTGGCCATCTGGAGGCTGGACGTGACTTTGCCTGGAGCCAGTGTTGGGGGAAAAAGACCAGGGTGTACTCAGCCCATAGCCACTGTTTTGGGAGAAAGTGGGTCATAGCGAGCCCCAAATCCTGGATGTGGGAAAGTGGCAATTTGCATCTTTTGTACAGCCCAGCCTCTCTGCAGCCAGGGCAGCGGGCTGTGGGTCCCCAGGGCAGGGGGAGCGAGATGTGCCCAGTATCTGACCCCATTGCCACGCCTCACCAGCATGCCTGGGAGAATGTACTGACGGTGGGACGCCAGCTGCAGGGAAGAGAAAAACCAGGCTTCTCTGGCCTGGCTGACTCCCAAGCTGGCCTCGTCAGCCACATTCTCCCTCTGAGGGTGTTTGTTTTAAGCCCGCTTGCATCATTTCGGCTTTAACCCTTCTGGAGCTCATGTTTGAATGCTTTTGTGAGTGAAAACTGCAGGGATTTCTCTCTCTTTTTAAGTAACGAATACCTGAAAACTTGTTTTCGAAGCCATTTTCCACTTTCTGCAGGAAGTCATTCAATGTCAACCTGCCATCCCAAATTTCTGACTCTTTCCTGTTTCTAAGACGGTTTCTGAATGATTGACATGGCACATTTCTGTTTCATGTGTGTTTTGGCTTTTTGGACCCCCATGAGACAGAGTAAACACCTTGTCTAGAGTCCAGTATGGGGGCCAAGAGCCCGAGGAAGAGCTCCGCATCCTGGGTTTCCATGAAGGCTGGATAGATAACGTGCTTCCAGGAAGTAGCAGAATGCTTAGTGGATCTTGATGAAAGCTCAGATGAATGACTCATCTCGTAATTGGCAGGTGCCTGGTGGTAGAACACCTATGTGAGTGACGTTGTGCAGGATCTGGAGAGACAGGGTCCCTGCCATCAAGGGCCTTTCATTCAAGTAGGGAGGGAGTTGGCAGATGATGAAGTGGGTGGGACCCGGTTCAGAGGCCAGCGCAGTCAGTGGGGAAAGGGAAACTAGGAGTTCATGGAAAGAAAACTGGCCGGACCCTAAAAGGCCTTGGCATTGGGAGGAGTATTGAAGGGGAAGGGGACAGAGTGAGCAAACATGTGGGGTGGGAAGGGGCAGGTGAGAGAAAATGTCTCCCTGACGGGTCTTAACTCCATGACCCCTCTGTTCTTCAGGAGGCTTGCTCTGTCCCATGTCACCGGTCTCTCCTGTCTCTCTCCTGCCCGGCAGGTCCACTCTGTCCAGGTGCTGCAATGCCCCTTCCTTCCTCTTTACTACCCAGAAGAACACTCCCCTGGGGACAAAGCTCAAGTACGAGGTGGACACCAGCGGCATCTACCACATCAACCAAGAGATCTTCCGCATGTTTCCCAAGGTGCCTCTTTGGGCGGAGCGGTGAGGGTGGGGCAATGGCCTTCGGGAGCCAGTGCAGTCAGCGGGGGCAGGGAGCTGACCGTCCTGGCCCTCTGTGGCCATGCCTGTGTGGTTGGCACTGCTCTGCTGTGCCCTCTGCACTAATTTGTCCTCGCCCTGGTTGGCCATCCTCTCAGGCTCTGTAGAACGTCCTCTGGGGTTCCTGGGGGTTCTGTCTGGCACAATGAATATCAACTGGCTATTATTTGAGTGACTTTTGGCAAGAAAGTGGTTGTAAAATTTCGGTGGTTTATTGCCTGTAGGAGACATCCTGAAGCTATCTGGGCAAATGATAATCGTTTGTCCCCCACCTGAGGGAGGCACGAGAGCAAAACCATCCATGCAAAAGTTGTGTGTGCACCAGGAATCACCAACCAATAGAAAACAAGGCACTGAAAGATTGGTCTGGTACTGGATGACTTTAGGTGGTCATTTGTTTTTCAAGGTCTCAGTCTCCCTGTCTGTAACACAGGGGGTTAGACTAAGGATAGCTGCTTATAACAGGAAATCTAAAATAGTAGAGACTTAAAGAAGATAGACCATTTATTTATTTATTTTTTCACATATAAGGAATCTGGAGGTAGGCTCTTCATCCAGGGCCGGCACGGTGGCTCCCTGGTCACAGAGCGAGGGCTCCGTGTGAGTGGACTACACAGATCACCGGAGCTCAGGCGCATGCACTCAGGTTTGGTCTGTGCTGCATCAGGCTCTCAGAGAAGGGGCCCCAAGGCCAGATTCTGACGGTCGCCCTCTCAAGCAGAGGAAGGTTCCACGGGACTTGTTCACAACTAACTCCTGGAGAGCGCCGGGCTCAAGGCAGGACTCTGTGGGTCCTGTTTGTAGAAATGCTGAATGGGGGCATGTTCAGGTCTTTCTGCATGAAATTTGAGGGTCTGGGCTTCCCTGCTTCTCGGGGGAGTGCTAACGAAACAGAGCCCAGGGTTTCCCTGTGTTCCGTTATCACGCCAGAGTGTACTGATAAGGTCGCTGTTGTAGGGGCACCGGGGAGAAGCCGAAAGTGGAGAGGTATCCCACGTACCTCCCACATCACAGTGTTGGAGGACGATGGGGCGTGAGCCATCTTTACGAGGTGGGTCTTACAAGGCTTGGAGCATGAGGTTGACAGCAGGTAAACTTGCATCTCATGCAGGTAATGCCAGTGGGTGACACACTGCTTGGTTATGACATATGGGCCCAAGAAGGGCCACAGGTATAGACCACTGAGGCCCAGAGAATTAAAGCAGGGATTGCCAAATGTCCTCTGAGAAGTGCCAGAGAGTAAATATTTTAGGCTCTGCAGGCCATATGGTCTCTGTCACAACTACTCACCTTTACCGTTCTTGCAAAAGCAGCCGTAAACATGAGAAAACAAATGAGTGTGGCTGTATTCCAACAACGCTTCGGCTCCTCTTAGACATGGAAGTTTGAATTTTATATAATTTTTACATGTCACAAAATATTCTCATTTTGATTTTTTCCAACTATCAAAAAATATAGAATACATTCTTAGCTTTCAGACTATGCAGAAGCAGGTGGTAGGTCAGATATGACCCTCAGGCCATAATTTGAGACCCCCTGAACTAGAGCATGTGACACAGAAGTATTTCCTGAACGTCCCTAAAAGTGAGTATTTCTTTGAGTTTGTAAAAAAATGGAGCTTCTTAGTCTTCTACCCCTGCCCTGAAGATTCTGATTCCATGGTCTGGGAGGGACCCCAGGAACTCATATTTTCAGAAAGTCCTCCAGGTAGTTTTTGATTTACAGCAGTCTGAGAAACACTGACATAGAACGTAAAAAGCCTTTGATGGTTTCTCCAAAGATGACTGCTTTTTCCCTTTCTCCAGTAACAGGCAAACAGTGTGGTTCTGCCCACCGGTCATGAGATATCCTTGTTCCCCGTCTTGGCCCCCTGGGCCTTTCGCTCCAGGGAGTAGGGGCCATGAGGATGCAGCATCTCCTTTAGGTTTAGCCTCATTCCCAGTGATCCCATTGTAATGTGATTTTCCCTGATGTCCATCTGGCAGTTGGTCCTAACAGAAGCCCAAGGTGCTGACCAGGGCTGTTCCCCTACAGGGCCGGCCAGCTGGTATGTGCTGGGAGGTTAGCTGCCCATCGGCCTCCTTGTGTCAGAGATGGAGGGGACCTTTGGTAATAACGACCTGGTCCTCTCACTGAGACCCCTCTGGGCCGAGCCCTGCACTGGGCAGGCTTTCCATTGACATCCATGTTTCTCAACCTGGGTGCAGTTTGGGGACATTTGACGATGCCCGGAGACATTTTTCATTGTCATGACTGGGGGATGCTCTTGACATCTAGTGGGGAGAGGCCAGGGATGCTGCTAAATATTCTACAGTGCACAGGTCAGCTCCCACAACAAGGTGTGGTCTGGTCCAAAATGTCAACAGTCCTGAGTTCAGAAACTGCTTTACATCATCTCATTGAATCACATGAAATACATGTTGCCATCCTAATTTTATAAACTACAACACTTTAATTTGTAACAAATTTTGTAAAATTTACAAAACGAAGTCGCTGAGAGCTCAAACAACTTGCCCATGGTTCCATCACCTCATTATGGGGCAAAACCAGGATTGAACTTGGGGCTTTTGACTAGAATGCCCAATCCTGGTTTGCCCATGGTTTGCCCAAACTTTCCAGGTTTGACCAAATGTAAGTCCTACATCCCGGGCAAAGTCTTCTGGTCCTGGGCAAACTGGGACAGTCGGTCACCCTACCCTTGACTCCAGGTCTGTCTTCCTGCCCTGTGCCTGCCCAGTTCTACGTGCTTCAGGTGAACCATGAGGGAATTATGGCCTAGAGTGGAGACTAATGGAACCAGGTCTCCTAACTCTCAGGCCACTATTTGCTTTGTCTGCCATCTTGCCTGTGGTCCCCTAGAAAGCATGCCCAGGGAGTCTTTGTGGGCAGCCAGTGTCCATACCGAGGTAACCCTGCCAACTGAGGTATGACAAGATCAAAGCACTGTGAGATGCTTACTCTGTGAAAGTTATCATCACTCAGGGGAAGTCCAGGGCTCCCCTGTGTTCAGAGCTCTTTCTTTGCAGAGAGCCCAGGTGTCCCAGCCTCTCACTGCTCCCCTGATGTGGCCTTGCTTGCTCACCCTCAGTCTCTTGTCCCTGCTGTTGCCATGAACTGACATGTGTCCCAGTTCGGATGATCTTTCTGTCACAGGCCTGTGTCCTCCTTGTGGAGCAGAGGGAGAGTCCGTACCTCTCTCTGAGTTGAAGGTCCCTGGGTGGATCTCCCCATCTCTGCTGCCAGTCATCCCACAGAACACCTGCATTAATCATTAAAATATTTATCTTACCAGTCATAAAAAAGCTGAGCTTCTAAACACTGGGAAAGCCAAAGACAAGCAGGGCTAGCCATAACCAGTCCTTCCTTCTCTTTGGAAACCTGGAGCATCCCAGGACTTATTGAAAAAGGCTGTGGAGACCTGGCTTCTGGTCCCAGCTCATTCGTAATTGCCTGTGGAACTGACAAGTCATTTGACCTCTTTTCTCATCTGCAAAGTGAATAACCAGTTTTCTCTTAACATTTTCTACAAGGGCAGCTCATGGGGCTGTGAGGAGTGGAGGCGGATGGGGGTACGGAGGTGAGAGCGCCAGATGAAGGCTGTGCTCCTGTCTCCCCAGGACATGCCCTATTACCGGTCCCAGTTTAAGAAGTGTGCAGTGGTGGGCAACGGAGGCATCCTAAAGAACAGCCGCTGCGGGAGCGAGATCAACAGCGCTGACTTCGTCTTCCGGTAAAAGAATCCCCCTCGTCCGCACCTGCCGCTTCTGCCCCCAGGGCCCTCCCCCTTTGTGCCCTTCCCCCAATGCTGCCCCGTAAGTGATTAATCCCCTACTCCTCACCCCTGCAGAACCTCATGCTCTGGGTTGTCCCTTCCCCTCTCCAGCACTGTCCCTTTGGGCACATGGTCGAACCTCTCCGTCTCCACATCTGCAGAATGGGAGCCAATGGCATAACAGATGTGAAGACACTGAGGACTCATGGGGACCATGCAGATCTGTTGGTGAGGCCATCTGGGCAGCCAGCTTCCTGGTTGGGTGCTCCTCTTCCAGAAGCACTGTTTGGAACCAGGCTGGCCTTGTGGCTGACACCCATATAAACTTCACCTTTGCTTACCTAAGCTAGAGGCTGGTCCTTGTATTTCTTTTTCCTTATGTAGCACTCCGTCTTACCTCTTTGGGTACCCTCGCTTACATCTTCGACCTGGATAAAGAAGATAGGTTGAAAATAAAAGCTTAAAGCAAAGACACTTGGGTTGAGGCTGGAGTGGGCTCTCGTGGGTCTTAGATTCGCAATTATCGGGCTGCTCAGTGTTGGTGGGAGAAGGGGTTAGATTGGCCCCTCCATGCCCAGGCCACAAAGATTCCACTCAGCTGGCCACCTCTGCACCCCTCTGCTCATGTGATCAGCATCCCTTTCTTCCCCAAACCCTTGCCCAAACTCCATCTGGAATGACTGACTGCACGCCTCTGGGCTGCCTGGTCTCTTCTGTAGGTGCAACCTACCCCCAATCTCAGAGAAGTATACCATGGATGTGGGGGTGAAGACAGACGTGGTCACCGTGAACCCCAGCATCATCACAGAGAGGTCAGTGACCCTCCTTCTAGACCTGTGCTGTCCAATATGGTAGCCATTAATCACATGTGGCTACTGGGCACTGAAACGTGGCTAGTCTAGATTGAGATGTACTGTCTGTAAGTGTAAAACACACACCCGATTTCAAAGACTTAATATGAATAAGAAGATGGACCATGTCTCATTAAATGTTTATAATGATTACACATTGAAATGATAGCATTTTGGATATATCGGGCTAAATAAAATATATTATAAAAATTAATTGCACCCATTTTTTTTCTACTTATTTAAATGTGCTTACTATAACACTTAAGATTACATATGTGCCCTGTATTATACTTCATTTGGACAGCACTGGTCTAGATTATCTTCACCTAGGGATGAGTCTGAGAGCTTTCAGAGTGTGATGGGAGAGAGCAGCTCCCTATGCAGTGTGTCCAGGTGACACCAGGGGTGTGGGGGTGGGGGAAAGCCTCATGCAAAGATCTCAGCCCCCCACCTGGCTCCCTCCTGGGCTCTGGATGTCTGGGAGGCCTCAAGGGAGCCGGTTAATGTGTAAAACTCCAACCCTGGTATAGTCACACCATCCAGGTCAGATGAAACGTAAGAGGGGCTGTTAAATAGGGCCAGAGGCCCAGGAACACTGACAGCGGAGTGAAGGGGCACTAGACGGATGGGAGATGAGCCAACCCCAGGGCTGTTTAATGTAAAGGAAAGATGAGTGAGGGGCAGTGGGGGGAATGCTGAGAGGCCACTGGTTTGGTGTCCTTCACTGGGGATCTTGGGGAAGACAGTACAGGTGAATGCCCCGAGGGCTCTAGGAAAAGCCTCCACTTCCTCATCACTCCCTCACTGAGCCCACCAGGCCAACCTCATGTGTTTGCGTTAAGCATTGCCACCCCCCCCTCTCCGCGCCCCCGCTGGTAACACACTAGATATTTGTCCCTTTCAGTCCAGCGTCCTTTCCTGCAGCCACTTACAAAAATATAAATGTCTCCAAGGCAGGCTGGACATTCATCTGCTGAGGTGACTGAGGTAAAAGGAGGCAGGGATGGCCTTGTGAGTCCCCTCCGTCCTTTGAAAAGACTCCGGGGTGCAGGGGTGGAGGGAGCAAGATTGCTGGGGCTGCGGGGAGTGGGCGGCCGACCCTCTCCCTCTGCGCCCGCCCGCCCAGGTTCCACAAGCTGGAGAAGTGGCGGCGGCCCTTCTACCGCGTGCTGCAGGTGTATGAGAACGCATCCGTGCTGCTGCCCGCCTTCTACAACACGCGCAACACCGACGTGTCCATCCGCGTCAAGTACGTGCTGGACGACTTCGAGTCGCCGCAGGCCGTCTACTACTTCCACCCGCAGTACCTGGTCAACGTGTCACGCTACTGGCTCAGCCTGGGGGTGCGCGCCAAGCGCATCAGCACCGGCCTTATCCTGGCCACCGCGGCGCTGGAGCTCTGCGAGGAGGTGCACCTGTTCGGCTTCTGGGCCTTCCCCATGAACCCCTCGGGTCTCTACATCACCCACCACTACTATGACAACGTCAAGCCCCGCCCGGGCTTCCACGCCATGCCCTCCGAGATCTTCAACTTCCTGCACCTGCACAGCCGTGGAATCCTCCGCGTGCACACGGGCACCTGCAGCTGCTGCTGAGGAGGCGAGGGCTGCCTGGCACCCCCGGCACCCAGAGCCGCCCTCCTCCTCTCTCTCCTGCGCGGGGCCGGGCAGTGAGAGGCCCTGGATGAAAGGCTGCCACTCCCTCGGTAGTTCAGCTTGGTACTCGGGTCCTGTGGGCCGAGAGGCAGGGATGGGGGCTGGTGCAGAGTCAGCTCTGTGCTAGGCATCCTGGGCCTCAGCCTGGGTCTTGTGGCTCCGCCCTGCCCACAGTAGCATGTTGCTGGGCCATACTTTAAGATTCAGGCTCTGGGACTGCAAGTGAATAAAGCACATTTCCACTAAATTTTAGCATCCAAGAGAGCACAAACTGTAGCAGCCTTGTTACAGCTAAAGGAATGCCCTATAAAGAATGGAAAAGAGGGAGATGGGACATATGAACATGGGTGAAATTTAATTCAGGCTTTTGGGTTCCTGAGTTTTATGCTGAGCCCTCAAGCCCTGATTCGCTGTCTGGAATCTCAGAGCTTAGAGGCCAACCCAAACGCCAGAGCTTCTCGTCAAGACAGAGTGGATTAGAGAGGTCCAGAGGCTTATCAACCAAGGTCACACTGAATGAGTCCATTAAGTGACACCGTGAGACCTAAGACAAAACACTGTCAGCTGAGGAGAGCCTCACCCTTTCACACACATCCTCAGACACACACCGTCAGACACACACACACACGCACACGCACACACACACACACACACACACACACACACAGTCTTGGTGCCTCCACGTACAATCCTGCTTTTGATCTTCTGATGAGAAGGAAATAAACCAGACCAGCCATTTGCACTGAGGTTTTTAAGCCAATGTTATCGACTTAATAAGTGCTTAGCTGTTTGCTTCCTCTTCTGTCTCCTTATTTTCAGCTCCGTTTTAGCCAGGAGTTATTTATAAGACCCGTTCCTCTTTATGTTTCTGAATACTGCAGAATCCTGCTATATTGCGTTCCTGCTATATAAGGCTCTGGCTGGATGGTGCAGACACATAACTGGTGAGCTTAGCGGACGGAACCACGTCATGGCCTCTGACACCAGCATCACTGAGGGATCTGCCGTAAAGGCAGGACTTCCCACATGGCAGAACCTGGTGGCCTTCACACACACGGACCCACAGGGTCTAGGAAGTTAGCTGAGCCTAGGCTGCAAGGGGTTTAACATGTCATTTCACATCTGAACTTATTCCCTTTGCTTCCCCCCGGTGTGTCCACCACTGAAGAGGCTGTGTGTAGTAGACACCATTGGTGAATTGCCTTAGGATTAAGCTTTGTGGAATCATAGAATGTCAGTGCTGGGTGGACTTCGGTGCCCTCCCTCCTCCCCCTCCCT